TATAACCCATCTGATATGGGAACAAAGATAATACCTTTGAACAAATTTAAAAACTGTTTGAAGTCATTATCTATTGATACTATGTGATAAAGCTGCAGGTACTTGGAGCAAATGAAAGGAGAAAGTGATATTGTCTACTAGCTGCACTAAAGCAGAAAATATGGTAGCACGGTGGAAATTGTTGAGACTCGAACCTTGTTATTTGTGCTCCCATATTTTCAGCTAACAAAACGTGTTTTGAAAACACGCCTTTATAAATGGTATTCTGCCTGATGATGACACCTGGCTTAATTCCCATCGTTGGATGAAAGGTTTACGCTCTGGTGATATAAATAGAATGAACTGTTCGTTTGACTCGGTGACTTTTCATTTTTGTGTGACTCTTAAGTGAGGTTCGAGAGAGTTCTTTGTCTCTCTCGAGTTAGGGTTTTCAGTCTTCCCTATTTTCTGTAATCGATCATCTCATTCGATGTTTTGGAAGGTTATTACTCACTGTATATTGATCTTTTCTTGAGTGAAACTTAGAGTTCTCATGTGTTGAGATTAGGAATGTGGTCTATTGATTCGGTGCGAGTCTGAAGCAGATCTATGGTTCCTTTTGAAGAGATAAGTCACTTTCTTGTGTATTCTTATAGTGATTGAACTCTGTAACCTTCGATTGCCTGTTTTTGGGGCTTTAGTGCAACCGAGCAATATCTACTTCGATTGGATGCTCAACAGGGGATTAGGTGCTTGTCACTGAAGCTCTGGGGCTTGGACCGAAAAATCTTCTTGTGTTATTTATTTTCTACAAGTTTAACTTCTGTTTTGAGCTCGATTGTATCTTGCAATTAATGTGGCTTTTTGGCCCCCTTTCAAGTATGAAGAAAAATAAGTTTTGAAAATGGCGGCCAAACACGTGTATAACAATGTTAAATTTCACTGTTTTCCTATGAGCCATTGTCCAGGAAAAGCCATAGCAACAATACAAGGTTGTAAGAACTACAGCCACTCTAAATATATACGAACAGCTATTGCACTTAACAGTGAGGAACCATCTGTATTGAATTGATTATCATTTTATCTAATTCTTTCTAAATTATTCTTCACCATTTCTTCAAGACTGAATCGGAAAGAACTCAAGGGTAGGCACTGAAGATTCTCGAGTGCTAATTCAGCTTTCGATTTTGCCAACTCTCGCGCCTTGTCAATGCCTCCACAGCTCTCAATAATATCAACGGCCTTCTCGAGAGAACCAGACTCACAGAACTCAGATTCAATTATATCCCTCAGTTTAGTCTCTTTCTCCAGAGCAAATATCACTGGTGCAGTCAAATTTCCTTTCGCCAGGTCACTCGCGGAAGGTTTCCCCAGATCTTCTGCGGATTGAGTAAAATCCAGTATGTCGTCAACAACTTGGAAGGATAGACCAAAATTCTTACCGTACTGGTACATTTGCTCGCTAATCTCACTGTCGACCCCACTGAAAATGGCGGCTCCTTTTGTACTTGCAGCAATCAAAGAAGCTGTTTTGTAGTAACTCTTGAGTAAATACTCGTCCAATTGAACATCACAGTCAAACAAACTAGATGCCTGCTTTATTTCCCCACTCGCAAAATCTTTGATGACCTGCAACACCAACAACATGGTTAGACAAGACTTGAAATCGTTTAGCTTGCTTCACAACTTTCTCGTCACTCTTTTATTTTTATTTTTATATTGGATTGAGATAATGATGTAAGTCGCAAGATCCTTACTTATGAGGTGAAAATTTTCGCATTGAGGCCAGTTTACCTGGCTTATAAGCTTTATGACTTCAAGATTTTCAAGATTGGCTAGGTACCACGATGACTGAGCGAACATAAAATCCCCAGCCAGCACAGCCACTCTCGTGCCATATAATTGATGGACAGTTTCCTTTCCTCTCCGCATGTCACTTTCATCTAATACATCATCGTGTATCAAACTCGCGGTGTGGATCATCTCAATAATCTCAGCTAAACGTCTATGTTCTTTCGTGAGCTCCCTGAACCATCAAGGGATTCTATAAATATAAGTGACTTAATCTGAATAGAGAATACTGCAAAATTGCAAATGGAAGATCAGATAGTATACTTACCTAAAGCCAATGATCTCTGCGGTTGCTCTAGACACTAAGAAAACTAAAGCAGGTCTCGTCCTCTTGCCACCAGCTCCAAAGATTTGCTCAGCTGCAGACATCAGAACTGGATTTTCTGCACCAACAATCTAATAGTTTTCTTGTCAGATACAGAAGATCAAAAGTGGACATCAAACTGGAAATTCTGTACCGAAAACTCGAATATATTCAGACGCACAATTTGTCAGAAGCAAAATTGTGTAGATAACAGAATGAACTGTTAACAGAAGATCAGCACTCATTACTATCAAATACTATATGAACTGAATAAATAAGAACATGAGATGTGAAGGACATTTCCCTTATCCTTATACGTCAATGAATCAGTAGGAAATTACAAAAATTCAGTGGAATGGAGGACCCAAAATCGAAGAATAAACAAACAGTAGGGAAATGAAAAACACAGATCAAGAATGAGAAACCATAATCAGAAAGAATTTTCTCCAAATTAAAAACAGAGCAAATAATGCAAAATTGGTTGATTGACACACATCAAAATAGTTCTATAGACAAATTATATAATGTGGAACGAATTGAAATCTCTCAAAGAGTCACTTTCACTATTTTAGCATTATCTACCTGAAAATTGTCTTGTAATGTAAAAGTAGCATGGAAGGTGATTTTACACTTATTTTTGCGCTAAGATTTTCAACTGAATAAGAAATCAGAACTTGATCCTTACAATATGGTACGGTCTATAATCTTAAATAGTGCAACCAATAAACACTTGACTATGTTTCCTCACTAACGCAGCTGCAAGAAAGCCATGTCACCAACAAAGAACTAGTTCGCTACAAAGTACAATATGCCACCATAAGCCAACAGAGTCATCGGCCACATGATGAATGCATCATCACAAATGATTATCCTGGAAGCATTCTTGTAGTAGATGGTTGAACTTAGTAAACACTTTCAAGATATCTGATATCACGAAATTGAAGCCTCGGATTCAGAATTATGAATATTCTCTCTTGAAGCAGGAATTCCAAATCCAATGCCCCAATTCAGTGTCATCTAAAAGGATACAGTCCCTTTCTTTGCTGTAAAATTTAACATTAGCCT